ATTTTTCCTTTAATATCGTTGTTCTTCTCACATAGCCGAGAAACTTGAACTGAACAATGATTGTGTCCTTACGGGTTGCAATGGTGAAGCCAACTTTTGGCGGGTCAGCCAAATTATTGCCGCGGGTCATAGGTTGCCGACCACTGATCTAGCCTATAGTTTTAGATTGTTTGTAGTGGTTTATCGTGTTTCTGTGAAGTATTCACAGCAGATGGAGCTATTTAGATGTGTAGCTATTTATTCTACAATGTTTCTTTTATTGTTGTTTTAGTTCTTCACATTACACGTGTAACAGAGCAAATACTTTGCTGCTATGTAGCGTAAGTAGTTTTTGTAATTGACTTTTCCTTTCTTATAAAACATTATATGTACATATATAAATATGTATTTTTTCAGTAGTCGATTAGACATAAATAAGTGGCTTATTGATCGCTTTTCCGTCTACATTGTGCAGTACAGATGTGTCACGGCCAGTCAATATGTTTTCTTCTTTTGGTATTTTATCCCTCCCCCACCTCTACACACACAAACACTAGAAACTTGACAAATTGCATCCTGATTAAAAGTATGTTTAATACATTTGTGTTCTAACACGACCCTAATTATTACCTTTTAGCCAGCTTAATTAAGCCAACTTAGTCATTAGTCAGAAGAACATTCAAAAACCGCAGTGAGAGGGTAAACACTGACGTTTGGTTAAAGTGGTGTAATATTCAAGGACTCCCAGAAAATACAGATATTGGGTTAAAGTGGGCTAATACTCAAAGACTCCGAGAAAATACTGATATTGGGTTAAAGTGGGGTAATATCCAAGGACTCCCAGAAAACACCGACGTTTGGTTAAAGTGGTGTAATATTCAAGTACTCGCAGAAAAGACTGATATTGAATTAAAGTGAGGCAATACTCAAGAGCTCTTGAGTATTACACCACTTTAACCCAACATCAGTGTTTTCTGGGAGCTCTTGAGTATTACACCACTTTAACCCAATATCAGTGTTTTCTGGGAGCTCCCAGAAAACACTGATGTTGGGTTAAAGTGGTGTAATACTCAAGAGCTCCCACAAAACACTGATGTTGGGTTAAATTGGTGTAATACTCAAGGATTCGTAATATCGTGAATATTCTTTGTATGACAGATATTCAGACATAAATTTTGAAAATTTCTTTTACATTTCCTTTATGGTTGATAACTCTAAACATCTGGGCTCGATATTGGCAGTGAGTACAGTGCAGATAGCCCAATATGTAGCTTTACACTTATTATTCTGTTTTAACGCAAACTACACAATGGTTTATCCGAGCTGTCCACCGCGGGGAATCGAACTCTGGATTTAAGCGTTTTAAACCTGTAAACTTACCGCTGACCCATCAGGGTACAGCTTTGCGCTTGAACACGAACAAACCTACTTCTTTGTTTTTTCTCTTTATTTATTTTGTTGTTTTGCGTTTGATTTGTTAGGAATAAACTCTATTTATGACGTTCATTCAGGTTAATGTAATTTTTTGTACCTAGAATAATGTTTCTTATTGCATTGTTACATTGATTTACACAACAAACTCTTACAGTTATAACTGTTTTACCTTCATCGGTGGCAGTTGCTTTTAGTTAAGATAAAATTTAAGATTCTATAGGGGAGTTTGTTTTCAAGAGATTATCATTATTATGGGCATTTTGTAAAGGTTTTAGTAAATTAGTATACGTATATTATCTGATTTTATCTACCTAAAAATGCGAAAACGGGGGAATTATTAAAAAAATATTGTAGTAAAAACAGTTGAAATAAATCTTAATGCAAGAAGTATGTTTTCAGGGTTTATTATATATTTATCAAATGAAAATACCGCATGTAGATCACGTGACACCATGAACAAATTGCTAGTTTCATTAAATCTAATTTAGGGAAGCGAAGGGAATTGATAAATCGAAGACAATAAATATTGTTACTCAAAAGTCCACCATGATACTACTTAAATCATGATTTGAAAGTTAGGGAAAGAGGAAGATCCCTAACTTTCAAATCAATCCAGTTAATTTAAACTCTAACATTCCAGTTAATGATATACTAATATAGATCAACCAAACGATTTTCTTCTAGTCTTTCTGCATAAACATCTAGTGTAAGATTCAGCTTACTTAATTTCAACAAATATGATTACTTTATTTATACTTTGGGGATGGAAGTGACGAGAAGAAATGTTTATCTAATAAACCTGAATCAAGCGGCGTTATCTAATGAGATTATCAAGGCTCTGTTATGTACGACTTCATATCCATTTTTTAAAATTGTTTCATAACATATATTTTGCCTTTGTTTTCTTTATCAGTTAGAATATCGTTTGTAGCATTACAATATATTTAACAGAATATTACTTACATAAAACACTTATAAGTTTCCGTAGGTTGTAACCCACCAGTAGTACGATTACAAAACGCGAGTTTTCATCATATTTAATTTTAACGAACATAATTTACAGAAGTAGCCTAATACCGTTAATTAACAACGGAACTTTTATTTGTTTGTGACCTCCCTTGCTTATCTCCCCCACACCTACTGATTGTACGTGATTAGAAGGTTATTTTACAGTGCAGCTGCCAGTGACCTGTTAGTGTATTTTAGTACTATGTACATGGTTAGAGGGTTATTTTACAGTGCAGCTGCCAGTGACCTGTTAGTGTATTTTAGTACTATGTACATGATTAGAGGGTTATTTTACAGTGCAGCTACCAGTGTCCTGTTAGTGTATTTTAGATTATTACAAGTTTTCATTATGCGACACCCACAAAGAATATAGTTATCTATTTTTAAAGTGTATGTATTTTGTATTTATGGCAGAGCTAATAAGGCCATTTACCACTGTCCCTAATTTTGAACTACTGAACAGAGAGAAGACGGCCCTACCTCCACCATCCACGCTAAAAATTTGACTGTCACTCCCATAACATCCACAACTTAAAATGTGGGGAACATTTTGTGGTATCTCACGGATTAAAATTCAGCTCATCAGCTTCGTAATCAAGAGCTCTACCACAGGGGCAAACTGCTCCCCTTTATTTAGTATTACTAGTTTGCATTACTTTTGATTTATCGGTGCTTATATTTTAAAACATGTTTTGATAATGCTCAATAATCAATAGTTATTGTTTAAAATATGCATGAATAAAATGTTTATTGTGAATGAAACCTTTTATTGTACAGTAACTTTATAGTTAGGGTACATATTTTTGTTACCAACTCTTTATTGGTGTCATTTCATTGCTTATTCATTAAATAGTGTCATTAACTGTTTATTATTTTCTTCATAAAAAAACAACACTAGTTTGTCATTTTCATTGTTGATTTGACATATTTGGCATGTACATTAGGCTTCTTAAAATTCCATGTAACGGTAATTGCTAACCGACAGCAACAAATATGCATTTCCAGTATAAATAAATTTTGGTTAAATTGTTGCAGAAGAGTTACGTATGACCTTTATCATAGAATGAAATGATACTTATAGCCCAAGTATTTGTGGTGATACTCTCAAGTGAAGAAACGTTAAGGATAACGTTTATCATATAAAGAAAGAATATTTAAAAAGTATGAAAATAATCTTAAATGGATAGACGTTTCACTAATTAATTATTTCTTTTCTGTGTGACAATAGACCATTCAGAAGCCTAGTATTAAGCTAATTTCGAGTCTCTTTTCAAATAATGAGTATAAATCAAATACGAATATTATACGAGATTATCCTTTTCATAATAATCCAATACTAATTGGGAATGTGGCTATTTTGTTTTGTTTCTGTCATTTTTAAATAAAGATCCGTAAAAACAAACCTGACGCTATATTTGAAGTACAAAGTACATGTATCTGTCTGGATGCCCATAAAGCTCGTGTTTGGGTTTTCAGACTGGGTTGTGTAAGTAAAAGTGTATTGTATTTTGTGGATATACTATGAACATAACGCACTAAAGGCCCTTTGATACCGCCTCAAAGAGATAATATAGAAAGAAATTGTACTTAAATAACAGCCCCTTCAATGATGAATATATTCTGCTGCTATTCGTTAAGAAACAAATTGTTCAAAATTCCTTAATTCAACTACATAATAATATTCTGTGGTTAGAATTTATAAACCGTAAAGTAACTTAATATGTATATATATATATAAAATAGTTTTGTTATCTCCCCTTTTCAACTAGAAACTTCGAAGTACTATATATATTATAGACATTCTGCAATTACTATGAGTAAATAATGGGCTATTTTAAAAAACAAACTCCACATGTTACAAAACTGAACAGCGTAATAAAACTGTAGTATAATAAGGAACCGTACTTGATTAATTAAGTTTTATGAAATGGCACCAGACTGGAAGCATTGATTATGTGAGATGATAATAATTATATAATCCCATATTATCAATTACTTCCACTATGTTGGAAGAATGGGCTATACAATAAAACATCAGAGCCAGTGTGTTTAATTTTATTTTTAGCCACTTCACATCGCGTGCCCACCACTACTTCTAAAACTTCAAAAGCTATTCAATCGAGATAAATATATTTTCCTATTTTTTTCTTGAAATTACTCTTAAACTTCTTAGGGTTTAGTCAACGGATCATTTATTGAAATATTTCAATTAAAACAGGTAATTACAATGAATTAAATATAACTGTTATCTTTTAAGTTCTTTACTGTAACTGTCACAACAGATAGAAATTACAGGATACAAGTAACATAGGTTTAAACAATAATAAACTTCGCAAGTAAAGACATGCCATTGGCTTAAAACCATGGCAATGTTAGTCTCATTTAGTGATTTAAAAAAAAATTTAAGACAAAACATGCTCTTAATTCAAATCTTGTGGGCAATAATTAAAATTAATCATCGCATATAATGGGAGCCTGATTTACACTAAAGTTATAATTATAATAAGCATAGAAATGTTACAAAAATTAAATAAAAATAGAAGATTATTACACTTTGAAGCTTCATTGGTAACAGTTTTTGTAATGTGGTGTAAAGCCCAATGACTTGAAAATAACTACTAACAAGATTAAAATATCATCACGTTACTTGCACACAAAATTAAGTCAGTTAAGAAAAAAATGACAAAGTTAGAAAAGACATCACTGCAAAAATAAATTATTAAATAAATATTGTATAGAATAATATTTTACAAATGTTGAGCTCTGTGGTATTTCTTAACAACATGTTCATTGACCTTCATATAAATTTGGATAAACAAAGGTATCAAGTTGCTTTAAAATGTCATTAACAAGACGTATCTTTAAAACACTTGTCAATCACCCATGTATATAACTAAGACTCTGATGCTTATATTCATATAAGAACATGCAGATACTAGCTGTTAGAGTAGAAAGCTACGAAAGGTGAAGACAAATAAGCAGAAAAAAATAATTAGCGAACCTTTAGTCTAACATGTTATTAGATTTACATTTGCTCTAGTGTATATTGTCTGATAAAACGAATTACTTTTTCTTTATGCTTATATTTTGCTGGCAAATGATATGATTATATAAAAACGTTAACTATGATTGAAGTTGGCTGAAATTTTTCTGAATAAAACTAAATTGTACAATAGTTTAGAGAGATATTGTTCTGACGACTAACGATTTATTGGGCAGCTTTGACTTGATAAATTGTCGTTTTGCTTCAACCTCTAAACTCTACGGTTTTTAAAATTAAAAGTTCTTGAATTTTTATATTTTTATTGACTGTATCTAATAAAGCCAAGTTCGATTTAGTGTGAGAAGGAGTAGCTAAAAACCAAAGTTCCTTTCAACATTCCTCAAGATTTAAAAGATTGCACATGGAATCCCAAGGAACAACTGACCTGTTCCATTTAATTACTTTAATGGTTTGATATATCAAAGTAAGCGGCACAGTTCCAAATTCATAATCCATGTCAAAACGTTTTAATAATTATACAAATAAGACTTCTACGCTACAGAAAGTGTAAGTCACTGAAAAATAAAATTAACAAAACCTGTCAAGTTTCGTTATCGTCATATTACATAGCTGTATCCTTGACTCAAACAACAACAGTCAGGTAGAATCCCAGTAGAAAGATAACTATGTAACCTAAATAAGAAAATTTCATGCTTATAAGCTATGGATAAAATTGTTTCATTTGTATATTTTAGCTACATGCATTCCTCACAATCTGCTTTCTATTTCAACGGCATTTGCAGTTTTGTTCCTATTGTTAAAACGGTACGCAAGATATTTCCCCCACTTTTCAAGTGCTTTTAATTCCTGCAGAAATAAGAAATTTTGAATGTATGTACAGTACTGTATCAATTTTAATCACCCCACGAAAGATATCTTTGTTACAATAACATCATTGTTGTTTAAACATTCACAACTAAATATTAACTATTGTTAAAACGGTACGCAAGATATTTCCCCCACTTTTAAAGTGCTTTTAATTCCTGCAGAAATAAGAAATTTTGTAATGTATGTACAGTACTGTATCAATTTTAATCACCCCACGAAAGATATCTTTGTTACAATAACATCATTGTTGTTTAAACATTCACAACTAAATTATATCGTAGTTTTCTTCAGTTTTATAATTATTCTAAAAACATTCTTTTGTATTCTTAGTAAAGATCTACCTCCCACTTTTGCAAGAAAATCTATTATATTATACTGTCAATATAAACTGTCTTGTACTGATATTATAGAACTTCAAATACATATTAAATACAAAATATTAGTGTGTATTAATACAACTAAACGACCTTGTAACACCAAATTAGACACTCAATATTTCGCTTTACAGCTTCTTCAGGAGCGTTCCACTAAAACACAAACGGTAACTGTAAAGCTGTAAAGCAAAACGTTGAATGTTTATTTGAAGAAAAACAACAATTTGGTGTTAGAAGGTCGTTTATTTCTAGTAATAAATGTCTTTTATACACCAATATGTACTACAGAAATTAAATAATTAGTTAATTAGCATGTATTGTTAAGAGTTTTTAAACCATTTTATTGTTGTGAAAATGCTATTGTCATGTTACTGCAGACGACATTTTGAAACTTGAAAAGGCCCTCTACAGATGTCATTAATGTACCATAAATATAACTTGTGACTATAATTGTAGCTGTTGAGTTTATTATTACAAGAAAATTCTACTATCCTTCAACTCGAGGAATGTTGTAAACTTTGAAAATCCTGATTTCTACTGCTAGATATACAACTTTATTAAAGAACATAATTTCATTGAATTAATCACTGACTAGCAACGATAATCCTTATCACAGTTTCTATCTTTAAACATATACCAAGTCACTGGAAAATATCTTTGACACTTTTCACCTTAAGACTTTTTTACATGTAAAACCGTTACTCAAGGTATATTTGTCAACACTCGGGAGAGGTTATTGTTGTACAAAATGGTGCAGCTATTTACTTTGCTTTTTATATACATGTTATTTGACTCTACATTAAAGTTACCAAACAGGTAAACAGTTGATCGACAGAGTCTGTTTTTTCTTACCACTGTGGTTAACTACCTGTCGGGTAGACTTACTGTAAAACAAACAGTGCTATTTTATCTTATAGCACAACAATGAAAGCGACACAATCTCAAGCACATCTTACGAAGTAAATATAAATGGTTTGGGAAAACAGTGCGTTGTTCGCATGTATTACTAGGTGCGTGCATGATTATGTCATAAATGAGTAAAAACTATTGAAAGTTTTCAAAAACTTCACAAAATAATAATTTTACGTCGCACGAACACTATATATGTATTAATACTGTACAATGACACAATACCTACATTTAGTTCTTTTTGCCATGAAAACTTTTCTAAAAACAAAAAAATCAAATATGTATTTTATCCATTAACTATATCAAGCAATTTCCAATCGCATTCTAAAATTAAATAAATTTTACTGGAATACGCTGCTGTCAACTTAATTCAATATATATAGTTTTGACACAAAATTACAATCAAATATTAATGCGAATGGTCACTAATACGATAAACACGTTAATAACAGAGAGTATACTTTCCCTTTTACTTTCTGCAAAACTTCTATATATAAACACAAAAAAGGTTAAAAGGCCTCCAAAAATGATAACCCTTTCATTCCCTAAGTCTGTGCCACTCCGCTATTTGTCGCCGTGGGGAATTCCGAACTTCTTGCCAATGCTGTTCGGCAGCGCCCCCTACCCGAGGCCCAAGAACCAGTCTCCCGATCACTTCATTCTTTGTGACACGATCCCAGTCTAGGACAAGAAATTCCAGTCCAATGGATTCCATTCCTTCATCATTGGGGACATCAAAAACAAAAGACTCATTAAACACAGGATTTACAGTGCGCTTCTTCACGTGTGTCTTCTTCTTAGCAACTCTCTGGTTTTTATACAGAAGATACAGTTTCACGTAAGGATCTGGAAATGAATAAAACATACAACAAAAACTATAGATACGCAGTTAAAGCTAAATAAGTGCATATGAAGGTAAAATAAATTTTATTATAACAACCTAACACAAACTTTTTCCAACTTCTAAAGTTTGGTTGAGTGAACATGGATCAATACAAATTAGAGCATACTAGCAGAGTATTGAAACATATTAAAAATTATTTTGTAAACTAATTTTCTGAGAACTTTTGAAAATAACTTTATTCGAATCATTACAATTTGCTCTTCTCTAAAACATTTACACAAACACAATACATACGCACACAGACATATATATATATATATATATATATATATATATATA